CTTGTATTGTTTCTACTATCCCATCATGCATTTTCCGACCCACAACTTTAAAGCAGAGTATATGCAGGCAACAAGCACATGACTAGAAGCGGTCCGACATAGCGGCCAGTGATTTTAATGCCAAACACACATATTGGATCTCAAGAATCATATTACCAAAAGGAAAATCTCTGATGAACATTGATCTTGATATAGCCTCTTATCACACGTTGAACTTTTATTTTAATTAAAAATACGCCAATAGTCGACCTAAAATCTAAAGAAAAGCTCTAAAACCAGGACTCAAAATGGCTTAAATCTAAAAAATATATTAGCTTACATATTACCACTCATACTTCTCTAAAAACGAACGATAAAATCGATAAGGTTCTCTAGAGCTTAACATCTTCACTACAGCAAGCCGTTTGAATATCAACCCCAAGCCCAAAAATTCAAAATCTATAAACTAGCACACATCGAACGAAATCGTAACCCTTACACGGAAGAAAGGACAAGTACGACGTGAATGACAACAACAAAGATCTCTCCAAATTTAAAGGCAATTTAACAATCTTACCAGGCACTCAAATAAAAAAAAATCGCATAAAATTCATTTTATTTCATTTTATTTCATTTTATTTCATTTTATTTCATTTTATTTCATTTTATTTCATTTTATTTCATTTTAGCGAAGAAGAAAGGGGTGCTGCATATGCATATCGACTAAAATTTTTTATTCATCTAATCTCTACTTCAACAGACAAGACCCTCTAACACAAAACGACACTATGGCCTTAAGTTTCAATAAAAACTATTAAAAAATAAAATTAAAGAATTAAACACCAAAAAGCCACAAGCTACGACAAAATTACAGGCAAGATGTTGGAAAAGATTCCACAAATAGCGAAGGACCAGCATGCAGCGTCTTTAGACAGAATGTCATACTGTCAACATTTCTTATAAGCGGACGTGTTTTTAAGCCGCTCTCCGTGAAATTTAAATTTACAGTCTGAAAACTATTTACCTATATCAAGTATTTTGCAAAAACTATTTTTGTAATTAATACAATATTTAGTATAATAAAAAAAAATATTTTGATAAAAAAACATTTACAAAAAGTGAAAAGTGCATAAAATATTAATTTGAAAATAATGCGCGCTTTTTCGGTTTCTGTTCATTTTCTTTTGCAATAAACTACTTAAACAGCTGACAGAGGCAGCAGATCAATATTTAAAGTTCAAAATGAAAAATGAAAAAAATAATCAAACATGAGGTTAGTGTGGTTGTTTGCAAACATTTACAAAACAAGAAAGTGCTGCCAGAGATAGCTATTATTCTATGAAAACGCGTTCCACACAAACTGTGATTCTAAGCCTACAACACAACACATTGCATCTATCATTGCAATTTTATTTTATTTTATTTTATTTTATTTTATTTCATTTTATTTCATTTTATTTTATTCTATTTCATTTTATTTCATTTTATTTTATTTTATTTTATTTTATTTTACATTATTTTATTTTATTTCATTTTATTTTATTTTATATTTTTTCATTTCATTTCATTTTATTTTATTTCATTTTATTTTATTTTATTTCAATTTATTCATTTATTTCATTTTATTTCATTTTATTTCATTTACTATTTCATTTTATTCATTTATTTTCCAATTTATTTCATTTTATTTCATTTATTTCATTTATTTCATTTTATTTCATTTTATTCATTTTTATTCATATTATTTCATTATTCATTTATTTCAATTTTATTTCATTTTATTTCATTTTTATCATTTTATTTCAGTTTTATTCATTTATTTCATTTTATTTCATTTTATTTCATTTTATTTCATTTTATTTCATTTTATTTTATTTTATTTTATTTTATTTTATTTTATTTTATTTTATTTTATTTCATTTTATTTCATTTTATTTTATTTTATTTTATTTTATTTTATTTTATTTATTTTATCTATTATGTTAATATTTCAATACAAAATATAATAATATGTAGGATATATATTCTTATTGTGAATTAATTTAATTTAACTTTAATTATATTCATATAGACATATATATGTACATATATATATATATATAGAGTAGAGTAGAAAACTGTAAAATAAACATTATCAGTTGATATCTTTCAAAATAATTTTACAATTATTAGTATACTATACAATTATTATTAGTATATTATATATATATATTATATATATATTATATTATATATATAATATAATATATATATATTAATATATAATATATATTATATTATATACCATATATAATATATAATATATATTATACACTTTAAAGTGTAAAATATTAAAATAAATTAACAAACCACTGACATTATAATATTAACCTGTCGCCCAACATCAACGCAAAATGGACAAACCGCGAAATTTTCGCGCTTTCTTTTTACTGTTGGCATAGCTTCAGGTGACTGCAAGACTGGGTTTTGTCACTGCAACAAATACTTCTCTCGTAGTTGATAAAAAAAAATTCGAAGAGAAAGTTTGAGTTCAATTAGCTCGTCTGTGAAAATCATTGGAATTCGTGGCAGTAAAACTTTTTCGTCTGGAAACTTGCCACTCAAAATGGTGGCTTCGATAATGTTTTACATCAATTTTTTAATTACCTATCGCTTACCATTGCATGGCCGTGGTGGGTTCAAATTCCGAAGTAAAATAACCGGTGATCCAACTTACAGTCATAGAAAGTGTGGTGGCATGCCTGGCACATCCAGTGAGTTTAAAAACTCTGCTGGGTCATTAACAGCTTCGTTGGCATCACAAACTTTATCTGTCGATTTTATATGGTTCATTTGGCATTGGCAGCAATACTACTTTGTGATACACCTGACATTTGATTATAAACTTTGAATTGAATCGTTGATCAATTGTAAACAAATCCCGTTGCTCCAGAAGAAGTCATTTGGAAGCATGAATTAAATGTGCGAATGGAATTCAGGAATAGGTATGAATCTTCATGTATGCCAATGAGCAAGCCATTCAAGGCTTCTGGTGGTCTTTCAATTTCTGGTAGCTACACTTTTCCTGATGCATAACACATCCCCTCTGATTCCTGTTTGAATTTGAGTGCATGACAATAAGGGCATTCTTTGTCGATAGAACCATTTTTTATCCACTTTCGGATGTGCGGAATATTCAATATCTGGTTCCTACTCAAATGCAAGACGAAGGAATGAAATGGATATAAATACCTGATGTACTTGTTGTCGTAGTCATTGGCTCTGCGTGTGTTAACTACAAACCGGCGCGCTTGTCACCGTTCTAATTGTTATTGTTGATTTCATTCAGCTTGTACCTCTTGTATTTGAAGTTATGCATTTGCGACGTGCTCACACGCAATTTTTCATTATCTTGTTGAAGTTGTTCTTCTGTTCTTACTGATCTACTATTTCGCATGTTTGTTGCATTACTCATATGACGCCCCAAATGGGACTCCTTGTATCTTACTGGCATTATTCAGCCGAATATACACAAAAAATTATTGTACTTACTGATAAAAATGGGATAATGTATTAGTTATTTTATTATTTTACCTCCAAAAAGAGAAAGTTACGTAAGTAAATATGACAGACACGATTGACAGTTTATATTTGACTCAATTTTGTTCACATTTCATTATTTAAGATTGCTTAATCTAATATGTTACAAAACATACTAGATTGTAACATTTCTCCGCGCTTAATTTTTGACAAGGTTTAAGTTTTCCTAAAATCGTCGGCTTCAAATCGATTAACATCCTTCCGAATACGTCCACTTTTTCGAAGTTGAACTACTTCGGTAGAACGTTCTTCACTAGATATTCATGTTGATTGGCTAGATGAAGGCGGTGTTGCGTTGACGAAATTGGAAGCAAATTCAAAAATTGAAATGAAGAGAAGTCAGAGGTACTTCTAGTTTTAAGCTGATTTAACGTGACGTTTGATGTTACCAAAAGATGTGTTCACTCGGTAAACCATTTTACCAAGTTGTATCACAATTTCTCCTTTTATCCATTTTTCCCCTCTTGTGTAGTTTCGAACGAAGACAGGTTGCTTTAGACTGAATTTCATTTTTCGCTTCAAAGTTTTAAGGTGCTTCCTAGGTGATTCAAACAGTTGACTCAACAGGGTACGAACAGGCCTTCCATGTAGAAGTTCAGCAGGTAATTTACCTTCAGCATTCGGCATTGTTGCAAGGTATTTTGATACAGTGAATTTGAGGATCAATCCATCGTCAATGTCTTTCTTAACAGCAGTTTTAAAGGATCTGACGAATCGCTCGACTAACCCGTTTGAGACTGAATGAAACGGCGCTGTTGTTATATATTTGATACCAAGTTTTGAGTAAAAATGTTTGAATGCTTCAGCTGTTAATTGAGGACCATTGTCACTAACGATGGTTTCTGTTATACCTTCCAGGAAAAATATAGAAGACAATGCTGATGTGGTGTCAACCGTTGTTGTTATAGATAGTTGTACGATGAACGGAAATTGCGAGAAAGCGTCCATACATATTAGCCATATTAGATTACAGAATGGGCCAGCAAAGTCGATATTACGTATTCACGTGCGTGAGCAGGATTTGCAATTTTGCACACATCACAATTTTCAGTTAATTGTGCTATGCCCTTGTCAAGATAAGTCCACCAGACATGTTGTCGAGCTAGCTGTTTCATTTTCGATACTTCCCAATGACCATTATGAAGAAGTTTAACAACTTTCTGCTTAAGGGAGGCTGGAATGACAACCCGGTTGTACTCCGTCTGGAGGCAAAACAAATTGTTATTTAGCATTAAAGCAAAGCGATGATTGAAAAATGATCGAAGATCAGCATCTTGTGGCATTAGCTTTTCAGGCCAACCGTTTGTAACGAGAAAATAAACTCGGCGAAGGATTGAATCATTTTTGGCATGCTGACGAATTATTTCAGCGTCGATAGGTGTGTTAAATTCATTTCAGTTGAAACAGGATTCTTCATGATCAAAAGTTTTATCACCAACGGGTTAATGAAATAAAGCATCGGCATTTCCATGGTCAGTAGTTTTACGATACCGAACATCATAACATACTGATAAGCCATTAGTATAATAGCCCATCGCTGTAAACGATATGTCGTCATCGACGGAAACTGATGAGTTGGATTGAAAATGCTCGAGAGATTTAGATGCAGAAGCAATAGGCCTTTCTGTACCGTCAACGTACGTATGCAAGAGCACGACTCCTATGCCATAGGAGGAGGCATCTATAGCTAGAACCAACGGTAGCTGTTCCTGATAATGCGCTGCATTGAGAATATGCATCTTAAGAGCTATAAATGCTTGTTGTTGTGCAGAACCCCATGTGAATTTTACATTTTTCCGGCGCAGCATGTTGATTGGCGCGGATGATTGCGAGAAATTAGGTATAAAATTATGGTAGTAGTTCACCTTGCCCATGAATGTTTTTGCTTGCTCTAAAGCATTCTAGATCCAGAATTATAGAGATCTAAGCGGCTGCAGGTTTTTGACTGCTTTTAGTCCTGACTCATCTGGCAAAATGCCTTTTGCACTAATTTGACGCCCAAGATACTCGATTTTATCTCGTAGAAAGAAACATTTTTCTTGCTTGCATCTGATACCATTTTGTTGCAAAATTCGAAGTACTTGTTCTAGCCGGCTGATGTGTTGTTGAAATGTAGATGCAGAGATGATGATGTCATTGAGATAATTTCCGCAACCTTCTGCGCCTTGAAGTAACTGCTCAAGATATCTTTGGAATATAGCTGGAGCGCTTGCAATTCTAAACGGTAAACTTTGGTATTGAAATAATCCAAGCGAAGTGTTGACAACCATTATTGTTTTTGCCTCAAATACGCATCCTTAAGGTCGATTTTTGTAAAATGTTGACCGCAATGAATTTTATGGAAAAGACTTTCGCGTATGAGCAAAGGATATTTTTCAATGTCAATTTGTGCATTGACTGCTTATTTAAAATCCCCACAAATTATTAAGGAACCATCAGCTTTTGGTGCTAGCACGATAGGCGAAGCCCATTGGGAAAACTTCACAGGTTTTCAGATACCACCATTTGTCCATCGATCGACTTCTTTATTGAAAAGTGGCATTTGCATTTGATATCTACGCAAAGTTCATCAAGCACTGGAATTTCATTTTTGAAAACCAAATAAGGTTTTTTTGTTTAAAAAAATTGTTCACTTAAACATCGACGACATTTGGTTTCAACAAGACGGCGCAACATGCCATACCGTACGCTTAACAATCTATTCAAATCAATTTGGAAACAACTTCATTTCGAGAAATAGTCTTGTTAACTGACTAAAATAGTCAGAACTAGCTAAAATATTTGATCCATTAGCAATCTTTGGATCAGTAATGCTATATGCGAAAATATATATGAATTAATTGTGGTTACAAAAATATAACTGTTGTGCAGCGGCGTAAAAATCAAAGAATTATAAATTTACTGGTTAATACGCAAATCAAATCAACTTGTAAGTTTATGCATATTAATGAATGATGAACGGTGTAAACCCATTCTTGAATTTATGTGTAGATTATTACGGCCCCACATGAGTAAATTATAAAATTCGAGAACAAATATCTCTTACAGTCTACAATGCGATATTCTCTTACACTCCACACGAACATGGCATCAGATCTAGTACCTGATGCTTTCATTAAAACAAATTTCAGTAGTGCGAGAAACCAACTTTTAGAATTGCAAGGTACAATATTTTCTGACAACTCACAAGAAAAATTGCCAATCTATGTAGAACTGCAGATTCAAAGTTCAAAGTTACGTAACCTAAAACAATGCATTTTGATGAGTTGTGAGGACAGTGAGAGAAACATACCGTTACAATATTTTAATAGGTCCTTAGTCGTATTAATAAAACAAACGATGATGTTGACGGCATAGTTCGAGTCGATATTATTTTCGATACTAAAAGGAAATCCAAGTGATGAAAATAAAATTATAATTGATCAAATTGCAACCAATATTTGAATTGAAAAGAAAAGTGTAACATTAAAATTAATACAAATAAAAGTTGATCTAGAATATGTGTGAACTATCAAATTGAGGTAAAACTGCTTGGTATAAATAGACGCACCTGTGGCAATGAAACTCTCATATCTCACTTTTGTGATTTAAAAGTTTTAGGTATAAAAATCAGTGCAATAAGAGTGATTTTCTAGAGAAAGAAAAAATTAATTTAACCATACTTTGACATCTATTTGTCTATGACATAAATGTTCAAAAAGAAATATTTTAGATATATTAAGATGGTATTTTAAAAGTGGAAAGGTAGGAAATTACTTTACCCTACAGGACAATATTTTACAACCCCGAATCAATCATTGGTGCATATAATAATAACAACAAAACTAAATTTATTATCTGTAACTATTTTATAGAAGATTTAAGCAGAGAAAGCGAAAATTCCAAACAAATTTCGTTATTCCATACAAAAGAATCAGGGCATACAGTTATTGTCTTCATATGGAATTAAAGCAAAAAGTTTATTATTCACATTTACAAATTCTAATAAATAAGGACGTAAACTATTTTAAATTATTTTCTGCTACAAAATTTAATAGAACACCCATTAAAAATATGTTTGCTTTTAATGAAACAGCTTGTGCAATATATGAAATTATTCACATAGATACCTTGTCAATTCTAAGCTATCTTGCAGAGTTAAATTCGATTAAAATCAAACTGTTTTAACATGGAGGCATTAATGTTTATTTCTCTAAATCAATTTCAGAGATTCCGATGTTGAGCATTTGAAAAACAGAAAAAATAAAATATTTAAATTTAGCAGAAGAATTGTCAACTAAACATCAAATACTAAAAGCAATTGATTATTATAATTATTGAAGGTAAATAGAACCCTGCGGCGTCAAGTTGTAGTAGTTGTGGAAGTGCGAAGCAGACAAGACTTAAACAATATGTCTTGTCTGCTTAAATAAATAATTATAAATCTGAGTTAAGTATATCAGTTGTTTAAATAAATTAAATAATATTAAAAATCTAATACATTAAGACTGAAAAGTTTTCGGAAATTCTCATTTAAAATTCGCGCGCTGTATATTTTTCGATATTTTAAGTTTATGTAGTTTGGCAGCACTGTCCTTAATTACTATGCCAAAAATGAGCTCGATCTGTCAGACAGTTCGTTTACGGCAGCTGTTGAAACCAGTTCACCTCAGTAGTGCGTTGCGAAATGTCTTCGACGGTCGTACGACCGTCCTGGAAGGCTTTGTACCACTCATAAACTTGAGTTTTCGATAAAACTGATTCCCCATAAGCCTTTTGTAGCATTCGCAACGATTCTGCACACGAAATTTCGTTCGAAACACAAAATTTGATGCAAACTCTTTGTTCAATATTTTTTTCCATTGTTTTTTTCGCAACGCCCTACTGAGGTGAACTGGTTTCAACAGCTGCCGTAAACGAACTGTCTGACAGATCGCGCTCATTTTTGGCATAGTAATTAAGGACAGTGCTGCCAAACTACATAAACTTAAAATATCGAAAAATATACAGCGCGCGAATTTTAAATGAGAATTTCCGAAAACTTTTCGGTCTTAATGTAGTTTGGATATATACAATAATAATACCATCATTTCACCATCAAAAATAAGAGAAAAATTTATCTTAACTGCAGACATAAAGAATTTCCGAATTTTAAAAAAATATGTAATTTCAGTAACTTTTTTGAATTTAATATTAAAATACCATATGTCTATGTGAAAGCGGAAGGGATGAAGAAACAAGGTAACGTGTCTGATTGTATTTAACTTTGAAAATGCCAGCACGATCCTTGTCACTGTTCTCTGCAAACTGACACTCCAGATAACTACAATCTAATGTGTGCAGCGAAATCATCCTCATGGCTATATCAGGTTTTATGTCGAGCTTGAATCTCACCATGTAAAACTATAAATCTAATAGAAAGGAAGATTTAACTCGAACAAGGAAACTGTTGACAAGGTGCATCTATACATCTGGTTAATGACCTTAACAAATATAAGGCTGACATTACCGCTTTCCTGAAAATGTGATGGACGGGACAAGGTTGCCCTAAACGAGATCATTGTAACATCTACGTCTACTACATTCCATGCTATAAAGCACGAATTCAGCGTCGAATTTGCGGTAAGCCGGAAGTTGAGAAATTTGGTACCCACATTTACCCCATTGATGGCTGACCTTATTGATTACGGGACATGGAAACTTCAAGTATCTCCTCAGAAAGATAACTCTTGCTAAGGAAGTCACTTGCAGACTATGTGTAGAAGAAAAATAAACAGCTGTGCATATATTGTGCCAATGTCCAGCACTGGCATGCAGAAGAAAGATTGTCTTGGAACAACATTGGATTGATAATGACTTGGCGGGCAACCTCAAGCTAAATGAGCTGCTTGCATTAACTAGCGATGTAGTTATGCGAGCGGAAGAACGAAAAAGGACCCATGTCGTTTCATGGACTACTTCGGATAATCCTTCACTACAGCTGGGCCACTTGTTGAACGGTGCGCTCTTCCAACGTCTTACAATATACCATATATATATATATATATATATATATATAAATATATATGTAAAGTAGTCGGTAACGGAGTACAAGTACCTGGTAGTTGGTTGGGTGTCAGAAATACAACAGTGCTTTTGACGTGCTTGAGCACGTCAGAAAAGATAATTTTAATTTTTGAATTCTCGCGCGTATGGTAAATTTTTTTGTTTTCACGCTGGCAACACTATTATACACATTCTGTCAAAGTTTAATGCATATCGTACGTTTAGTTTTTGTTTGGCGTCTATACGAAGAAGTCGAAAAATTTTCGTGTGGCGATTTTTATAATGAATCAAAAATTAGAACAACGTGCGTGCATCACATTTTGTGTTGCAAATGGATTCAAGTGTGCCGAGACTTTGAAAATGTTAAAAAAGGCCTTTGGTGATTTCTGTGTGTCGCAACCACGAGTATTCGAATGGTTTAAAAGGTTCAAAGACGGTCGTACAAGCTTGAACCATGATGAGATCCCTGGCCGCCCAACAACATCTGTTACTGAAGAAAACATTGCATCGTGTTGGAAAATCGTTGTGAATCGAATAGAGATTGTAGTGTTGTTGGGCATCTCATATGGATCGGCCGAACACATTTTAAGTGATATTTTTGGTGATGTTTGAAAGGCATCGCTTCTCGACTGGTGCCAAAAAAGCTAAAAAACCTCGATGTGATGTAGCCAAAGGGATGATTTCCAACGCAGATAGTGACCCCACATTCATCGAACGCATCATAACTGATGATGACACATGGGTCTATGAATTTGACATGCCAATTTGACCACCAAACAACAAT